AAATCAATATTTCTTAACGTTCCATAAAAAACTAATGAATGAAAAGTCCTAAATATTTTTAAATTGTTAAATATAAGAAATTATTAATTAAAATCAAATTATATATTCTAAAACTTTAAATTAAATACTCCAAAATTATACACGTAATTAAATTGGTCTACTTTCACCAAAAAGGAAAGGAAATGTAAGACTAGCAATTTTTATTAAAGGAAGAAGAGAATCATAAGTGAGTGTCCAAAAATTGTGAATTATGAAATCTCAGTGTCCAATATGAGATACATATTTAACCATAGTGTCCAATTTGGTCTATTTAAAACCTTAGTGTCCAATATGAGATTCTCATGAAGCCATACTGTCCAATTTGAGATGTTATAGTAGAAGTAAGCAAACAAAAAATAGTATTGATATTATTGCATGTCATATTTGCCTGAATTGTTTGTTTATTAAATTTTGAAATGTGTATTTTTCATGAATTGTTAGGTGTAGTGGTGTATTTACATTATAAACTAAATTTATCGATTTTATTAAGATATTATTATCTGTGTCATGTTTATTATGTCATTCAGGCACAATGTATAGAAAAATAAGAGGTTGGATGTACAATAGATATGTTGAGAACGATAGAGCGTTGACCCAAGAGTTTATTAATTAACGATGTTGATGAACTTATTAGGTTTGTGTGTGCACAAACACGATTCATGAATGGAGAAAAGATGCGATGTCCATGCATTATGTGCACAAATAATAAATTTCTGAAGTGAGATGAACATCTTGGCATCTATATATGAATGATTTAAAGAGAATTATCATAAATGGACTTCTCAATGCAAGTCGTTTGATCCATCCCTTTTGCCACACACCATAGGAACCACTCGTCAAGTTCTTGACCAGATGGCCCACTAGGGTGATTATGATCAAATTATCGAATTGGGAGCATCAAATGGTGTATGATCTGGGCACAAGTTCTAGTGACTACTTTTTTATATGGATGGATTGAGAGATAGATTTCAGGATGTTCTAAAAAGCGTTGATCAACCGGTGTATTATAATTGTGAGGATCATTCACAATTGTCACCTATTTATGATCTTTTAAATATAAAGTCAGAATATAACTTGCCTGAAAATTGTATGATCAAAATACTACAATCGGTGGGTAGTATGCTATCGCAAGACCATTTTCTTCGTGATACATATTACAAGGTGAAATAATATGTATCATAATTGGGTCTCCCTGTTATCTATATCCATGTTTGTCCAAATTGATGTATGTTGTTTTGGAAGAACAATTAGGCATTGCCGAGTTGTAAATTTTGTGGTGTTGAGAGATACCAGCTGCAGTCATGCAATCTTCGCAAGACATGGAAGAGAAATGTTGCTTTAAATTTATTTTACCTTCCATTAGCCCAAAGATTATAGAGAGTGTAGGTCTCAAATGCAACAACTAAACACATGATGTGGCACCTTGAACATCAAGCAGAAGATGGGTTGACGTTTGATCCATCAGATTCAGAAGCATGGAAGCATTTGGCTCTTTGTCATCCTCAATTCGGCATAGACCCGCACAATGTGCGCCTTGGTTTATGTTTAGACGGGTTTGCACCATATGATCAATATGGGATTGAATATTCTTATTGGCCTACTATAGTCACACCTTATAATCTTAAGAAAAGGATAGACTTTTACTTGCATCCTCTTATTGATGAGTTGAAACATCTATGGGATATAGATGTTCAAACATATGATATTTCAAGAGACCAAATATTTAATATGAAAGTGGCACTACTGTGGACAATTAGTGACTTTTCCGAATATGGGGTGCTGTCTGGATGGAGCACGACAGAACTTATGGGATGCTAGATATGCATGGAGAAATCAAATGATTTTTGGCTGAAGAATTATGAAAAATCATCTTACTTTGATTGCCATCGTAAATTTCTGAGCCACGACCACTTGTATCGAAGAGATAAGAAATCATTTATCAACGAGAAAATGAAACGCGATCTTCCACCCCCGATATTGACAGGGTATCAGATTTGGAACTCTATGTGTGGCATTCCATCTGTTATGGACGATCCACTCGAGTACCCCTGTAACACCCCCAAATTTCCCACCCAAAAATACATTTAAATAATGATTTATTCAAAAGTAATATTAACTTTATTTAAAAGCATCAGAAATGTGCAGCGGAAAATTTAAAGGGAAACAGGGGTGTTACCGCCACACTTGGTTCTAACCTAACCGAGTGCACAGGCTAACCACCTTCAAAACTATTTTGAACTCCAAAACTTATATTTACTAATAATCTTGGAAATTAAATTTACAAACTACGTTTTCTAGCGGAAGCTCTCTCGAAATCAACTTCAACAGGATCAACTCAGCACCTGTACAAAATCAAGTACAGACAGAAAAATAAAAGAAACAAACATTAGCAATAATGCTAAGTAAGCCTCACCTAATCTTTTAAAATAATAATAATAGTATATATATAAATTCGTATAACCGTTAGTATAAAAATATTTTCAAAACATTTTATAAATCATAAGTAAACAATATCTATACAAAATCCCTATCACATAACTCGTGAACCATAATAATTCCAAAATACATGAAACACCCAAATTTCTTCTTTATTGAATTTCTCCAAAAATCACTTTGTAACTAACTTCCTAGTAATTTAGAAGGGCGGTGCTCAACACTTTGGTTGAGCCCGGTGGTCTGTTGTTATGTACGGCCACCCTGAGACTATCGCCGGTACCACAACTGTTCAATCGAAACAGAACCAACTACCTTAAGTGTGCACACCCCCTAACGGGATTCCAAGCCCTCGGGGTTAGTAAGTCGATCCGGGTAGCCAGGATGATTTCTACCAACTACCCCACCTCAATATCTGAATGATTAGGAACTACTACTATCACTACTCCTCAAAAGCCGGGATGTTTTCTACCAACCCACCATAAAAATTGTCGGGGTGATTACCGACCCACCATCCTACATTTATCCGGATGTAGAAACCGACACCACGGATTTCTCCCGTGGTGCTCACATTTTATAAAATTGTTAATTTTTCTTTGCGTAGTAATAGACCTAACCACCCTCCACACTTATCCGGATGTGAAAAAACCGACACCACGGATTTCTCCCGTGATGCTCACCTTTTATGAAAATGTTTTTCTTTGTTTTCTCAAAATTTATCAAAGTTCATATTTTCAAAATGCGCTAAAATCTCCATTTTCTCAAAACTCCAATACTGATATCAAAATACTTACTATTACAAAAATCTCCCAAAATCATGTACAATAACTCATATCAATAATAATAACAAACCAATATATCAACCAATATATCAAATACAAATACTTTCATAGAATAATATTTACACAAATTCAGCACACATAAATTCAATTCTTCAATATGCACATGAAAATATTCAAGAAAACAAATTCCGGTTGGCGTGAAACTTACTTCAAATCGCGATAACTCCTAACCGAAACTTTTATGTCGATCTTCTCCTTTCGAATGTCTTCTTCGAGTGTTTCAGCGACGCGGGGAGGAACCACGGATCGACGTTCGATGCGGTTGTCGTCACTCCGGTACTCTCATCTCGGCGTCAACAGTAAGGCATACCGGCGGCAACATGGCGGCAAGGTCAGTGGCGACGTAGAACGGCAGCGGTTTTTCTTTCCTGCTCCGGCGTGCAAAAACAGTCCGGCAATAAACCTTCTGGCGCGACAGTTTGGGTTCTTTCTCCGGCGTGCAAAACGGACAGGCAGACTCCGTCTTCTGTACTTCCTCTAGCGTGGAACATTGCAGAAGCACTGTGACGTGCTGGTCTTCCCTTGGCGTGAAGTCGGGTGCTTGTTCCCCTTTTTCCGGCGACGACTTTGGTTCTGGTTCCTCCTTCGACGCACTCGTTTCTTGCCATGCGGTGGTACTTACTTCTGGTGGAGAAGGTGAAACGGCGAGTCGAGAGAAGACGTCCTTCTCTTATGGATACCGCAGCTCCGGTGGCATCCAGTGCACAAACAGAGAAGTTCCTCCTTCCTCCGGTATCTCTGCCACCGCACTCCGGCAGTTTTCTTCTCTTGGCGGCGGCAAAGCTACTGTGCTCCGGCTACGTTATTCTCTTCTTCGGCAACTGGTCTTAGCGTCGGCGCTCTCTCAAGATGGCGCGGCCAGTCCCCACGCTCTTCTCTCCTACTCACCGACTAGTCAGTGTTCGTATTTCGTGACTTGGGTATTGTTATCTTTTGTCTTTAATTGCAGGTCCGTGATATTTTGCGCATGGTTTGGGAGCATATAAATAGAGGGTTACGAAGGTTCTAGCAGTCTGGGTTGTCCGTTGAGCTTCTTCCAGAACAGACCGATCGTTTCATTGTTATTCATTATTGACGCTTTTAATTATTAGGTGTGGAGTATTTAAGTAAGCATGCAATGCGTAGTACTACCGCCGTTATATTTTATGCATGTATGCATAAACCGTATGCATGCATGTATATGATGTAGTATATGTATGTAGTATATCATGTATGCTAAAGTTCCTTTCCGTAATAATGTTCTACTTTATTATCATTATTACTATCACTAGTGTAGAAAACACTTTCTATATGGGTTAAAAAACACTTTTTATGTCGGTTCCCGTAGCGACATAGTAGCCAGTGATATTGAAAGCCGGGCACTTTTCATGTCGGGTAGTCGTACCCCTTATAGAATGCTTTTTATAACGGTTACGAATTTAACCGTTATAGAATGTTTTCCATGTCAGTCAACTAATACCCATATAAAATCCTTTTATATGGGTTAAATCACCAACCGTTATAGAAAGTCAATTTTTTTAAAAAATACATTAATCGCATTTACTGTCACTTATATATATATATATATATAAGTGATTTTATATTTTAAAATGTAATGTTTTTATATATAAAATGATATATATTACACCAAAATACTTAGGTTCAACGATAAAAGTACAAGTGAAATTCTTGAACCCAGCTCATAGCCTTGCTGTTAACGGTGTTAAGCTTGTGAATTTACAGAGATTTACATTGTTTACAAAAGTTCAAAAAACAACATCAAAATCTATATACGCAAACAACTTTTTCTTTGAAAACTAGTGAAAGTAAAAGAGTATGCAACTCTACGGAGATCATCTATCACCCCTCTTGCAATTCTTTTGCAATTTTTTGCCAATCAGATCTTGCAACTCAATTTCCCCAGGAAACCTCTTTTCCTTTAGCTTGGAACTCTGCAACACACCAAAAGTATATGAACTCTGCAGCATTGAAATTAAGAAAATTTTCAAAAAGCCAAGTGCTAGCAATAGATCCAAATCTGTTCACACACAAGTTGTAGTACCATGGGTGGCACAACGACCTATCCATGGAAAAATTTATTCACCCACCATTATAATTATACCAATAATACTAAACTGAACAACGAGTACCAAGAGGTAAAAAAAAAGGTGAAATACAGCTTTAATCTAATTTTTGAAAAGTAGAAGTTAGGGATTTTGGTAAAAAAAAAGGTATATCACTATATCATATGGATGAAATTTCACAATAAAATTTTAAAAAGGTGAAATACAGCTTTAAACACCCCTCCCTTAATATATGCTTTTAGTTTCGAAGTACTTTAGTTATGAAGATGCAGTACTTTAGCAATGGAAAACACTCCAAAGTCTAACCTGCAAAAGCCTTCAATTTTTGGAAACAAAATCAAAGGTGTTTCTAGCCTTTCTTTCTTCTAGAAGTTTCCCAATGCATACTGTAATTCCAATGCCCGGGCCCAATGTGTGAGCAGCCTTCTTTCCTATAGGCTATATAGTAATTCATGACAAAGGATCATAAGATACTCTCAAAGGCATGATAAACATTCATTTTATATTTCTATACGGGTTTAAACATTCATACTTCAGCTTCTTCTCCAATTATATGTCTCCTCTTGATACGGGTATAAACATTCATACCCACTTGAACTCAATATCTTTCAATTGTTTGGCACTGCAAATGGAGATGACACGCACTATGTAAGAAATTAACCGTTTCCATAAATAAAATCCTTGAACTCAAACCACTATAGACTTATAAATGTTGAAAAAAAGGTTTGAGTATGTTCACTGTAAGATCACTATAATCAACGTGTATGTTCATTGTAATATGGGGTGTAAAATAAGTATGTCTTCTAAACATGAACACATGCTATTTGGGGGGACCAGAAGGTTTTTTTGTTAGCATATGTGGAGTGAGTGACAATATTAATATGGGAAATTCCATTTTTTAAACTTTCAATTTCAGAAAATGGATCCAAGAACTCCCTAATACAAATTTTTCATCAATTAGTAATGGACAAACAGGTAATGGACAATCATGAAATGCTTGGTAAGAATGGATTATTTACGATTCAAAGATTGAAATTTAAACTCAGCAACAATTTAATCTGTTAGCTCCTCTTAAAAATTTTGTGGGGTTCCCTTTGCTATCACAGTAACGGCCAGGTATAATCTTAAACCTGTATAATCTTGTGGGGTTCCCTTAAGCTAAGACCTTAAACCTGTATAATCTTACCAGCATTGAAGTTAAAGACAAGGTAGTACTCCGGTAGTCGTTCTAGGGAGTCAAACTTGGGTTCGATGCATTAAGCAGTGCTTCTAGATCTTCCACCATTCTCTTCTTTGGAGCTCTCACCATCATGTTAGCTTCCTAATACAAAGAATATCACAAACATCACCACATGAATATAAAAAGAAAAAGACCATAGTAGAGTTCTACAGGTCCTAGTTTCAAGAAGAAGAAAATCCCTGATGTGATACATTATGGTTGAGTGGCCATCCCATTAAATATGAAAAATTGCTCAATCAGTAATCACAATGGACTAGGAGTCTGGGCCCATTTAGGATAACTTAGATACAAGTGATTTATCATCAGTACTTTCTCGTTTGAGCACCTTAAGTGCTTCTTGGATGACGCACAATCCTGATGTTTTCTTAAGTAAGCATTAAAAGTGCTCTGTTAATCTTGAAAACACTACAAACGCTTTTAAATGAAGCATAAGCAATTATATACCACTTAAAGGCATTATGTCCTTAAGAATATGCCCAAGCACAGTCTAGAAACCTTTTTGTGCATGTGAGACAGATCGAGATGTTATAAGAATTGAAAGACTAACATAATTGAAATAACATGTCAATCGACTATATCTGGTTATAGACAGATTCTATGTCAGAAGTCAAAAACTTCATCAAAACCTGGAAGACAAAAGTGATGCCAATTATTAGTTTCATGCACCAAACAGTTTCTGAAGCAACATACTTCCTCACAAGTCGAATCCAGCTCCAGGAAGGGATAGCCCCATCTAGAACACGTATAGGTAGAGGTGGGAAAATATACGGAAATTTCGTTATACTGACCATACCGTACTGAAAAATACCGATTTTACCGAACTTTTCGGTATACCGAAAAATTCGGTACGGTATGATACCCAGAAAGAACTTACCTGAGTTAAGAAAAAATATCGAGAAGGTTACTTGAAAAATAGTGAGAAAACATGTAAGAATAAAAATTTCTGCACTATTACAGAAAAATAGCCCAGAAAAACTTACCTGAGGTAAGAAATATTCGGTACGGTACTTGAGAAAACATTCCAACCACCTAAGTTAAGAAAAAAATACCCAGAAAGAACTTTACATTACTTGACAAATACCTCAAGCAGCACTCACTAGTGGAAAAAATCAACAGGTTAGGAAATTAAATGTATAACCAAGCACTCACCAGAAAGATCATGAAGATGTAAGCAAATGAGTTTCTTACATTTGCAAATATTCTCTACACTGCTTGATAATTTGCACCAGTTTTGTTGCATGACTGTTCTTATCAGTCTCCTAGATTCCATGTAATACACTGAACAAGCACACACCTACTTTAAGCTTATATTGTAAGAGGTTACTTGGCTCAGCTTATCGAATTTGCTCATATTTAATGAAAATAAAAATATTCTGTAAATTCTCATTCCTGATTGAGACACATAATTTGTTAAACTCAAGATACTGAAAGAGACCTCAGTTGACTAAATGGGTTGATTAAGAAAACATAGTGAGGGGGGTTCTTTGTTGGTTGAAATGAAAAGAAATGATAGTTTTACTTTCAATTTTAAACTCCACGTCAGTTTACTTATTAAAAATATCTTAGATGATTGAAAGCATTTAGCAAAATTAAGACACTTGATCAATTAAGAGTTCATCAACATCAAAATAGATAGAAGGGAAAAGTAACATTTTTTCTATACAACATCACACTTGTGTAAGCACACTCATTTGAAAATGCTATTGAGACTTTTTTTACAAACAGTTAGTACACACTAGAAATATAAAAAAACATAATTGAAATTCTTCTTGCTTAATCACAATTAAATAAAATTGTATTACTGAGCAAAAGATATACATAAATCGAACACCAAAAGAAACAATAAATGAATATTTAGTTTGGAAAAAAGCATTTTTACCGAGATGGGATGGAACAAATGTTTTTTGCGGTGGAGATCGAGCAAATTAACGAGCTGTAGAAAACAATGGAGGAGCAGTGGAGTGCACGAGACCTGTTGTAGGAGCGGCGGAGTGTATGCGGCGTCAAGAGCGATGAATAGGTGTGTCATCTAGAAGTGGCGAAGCGGCGATTCCTATAGTCGATCTGGGAGCGGCGATTCTATAGCCTAGGAGCGGCAGAGCGTCTGTGAGGTGTGCCATCTTGGAGTGGCGGAGCGGTGCATCGGGTTGGAGCAGTGGGGCGGTGGAGCTGTGCGTCGTTTAGAGGCAGAGCGGCAGACCTTTTCCCTTTTGATGAAGTGATGAAGTCCTTCCAAAAACAGGCTTTAGGTTTAAAATTTAAGATATACATTCTATAAGGGTTAATAAAGGAACGGACATGGAAAACAAATTTCGGAATTTTAAAAATGACTACACCTATCACGATTGATTTTTCAAAAATTACGAATTTTACCCCGTTTCTCTATTCCATAGCGGGTTAGCTTATAACCGTTACGGATAAACTTTTACATTTTATAATTTTGACCCCATCGTCCAAAATAATTTTTCATTATTTATGAATTTGACCCCGCGTTAACATATCATAACAGTTTAATTTTAACCCATATTAAATGTCTGTTATAGAATGCATATTTTGTACTAGTGTATTATGCTTAAACGTTACATGCATGTGTATGCATGTACATACCTTATTTTACCATTTTAACATTTTACCCTTATCAAATAGTTTATGCCATTTTATTCTTATCAGATAGATTATATTTGCTTTATTTTTGTACCAAATAAATTATATCTGTTCATTTTTGTTCCATTTTATTGTTATTTTTACTTTTAAAATTTTGAGGTGTCACAACCCCATAGGATATAAGACTCATCGTAAATGGACAAGAAGAAGCATCTTCTGGGACCTCCCTTACTGGAAAGACCTCCTAATTCCCCATAAACTAGATGTGATTCACATTGAGAAAAAAGTGTTTGATAACATCTTTAAACGGCTATGAATTTCATAACGGAAAACAAAAGATGGGTTATTATCCTCGGGAAAAGATGTTGGGTTGTATTGTGACCGACCTGAGATTACAGTTGGAGATGAGTTTCAAGGTAAAATAAAAAATCAATTTACCAATTCAATCCCGCACAGAAATTATTAATTTATAGCTTTTGCTTGATACTATTGATTCATTTTTGGAGTCATTAGCATGAGGCTCCTCAACATTAGCAACATATTGGCCAACATACTTTATTAATGGTTATAACTATCATACACTTGATTTCGGGATCCATTTTCAAAACACTCTTGTTGTCATTGAGTCTCAATATCGGGGTGGTCGAGCCAATGTTGATACCCACACCCAAAGATCGGTACAAATTGACTTCAAACATATTTCAACAAATTTTCTTTTTTACTAAGTTTCTAATTAATTTTCTCTTAGGCTAAAACTGTGGATCAAGAACTGCTGACGATTGAGGTCTATAAAAAGTGTTATGTGCCGAAATCGGGTGACCCCCCTCCGCGTGTTCAAGAAGTCATTGTAAGTGTTATCACAAACTGAATATGAAAGTTTAAAACCTCCGTGGATCTGTTATTTCGTATTTTTATCTATTTTTTCTCATGTATAATGGGTTTTGTTATGTCTTATGTTTTAAAATGTTTAGGCCAAGTATGATGAGCTGAAAGCGCAATATGAAAGTCAACCTTAAGGTCAAATAGACTCATGTACTTTAATGTACAGGAGTCGCCGGTTTCGGCTAGACTGTCAGGCGAAAATGCAGGAATTTGAGTCTTTCTCTATGAGTGGTCCTCCTGCTGCTGCTCTAGAAGAGGTTGAAGAAATTCAAGGTTAGATGCGGGCGCAAATTGCTCGGATTCTTGATCTAGACAAGAAGCAGCAGAAGAATGGCATTCAAATGGTTGCCATGTTAGGGTACTACCCTTACCCGGTACTACCCTGACATGGTACTACCCTTACCCGGGTGCTCCTGAGGACTCAACCCGCTACCATACCCGATCAACCTTCTGGTGCTTCTCTATATTTCGATGATTTCTTCATTATCCCCTCTCTCCCAATGAATGAGTATGTCGGGAATGGTCGGGATATATAATTTTGTTGTTTAGTCTTTTTTGCTAAATTCTTTTGGGTTATTCTATATAATCTAATTTCTTTTGCTAAACACTTTTCGGTTATTCTATATAATCCATTTTCTTTTGGATTTTTGCTAAAACCTTGTGGGTTATTGTATACAATCCGATTTTTGGTTGTTACTTAAAATTTCATGGTATTTAAATAATGTTTTGGTAATTTAATTGTGTATTGTGAATTTTGGTGTCCAAATGTTGTGAATAATTGTGTAAATGTGCATGTGCTCGTTTTTTAAACTTTTGACAAGGATTATATGTGCCAATACCCTACTAAAACTATATATTTGGCACGGACTGTCCGTGTCAAAATTCAAACTTATAAATTTCAAAACAATAAAATTGGCATGAACTCAAATAATATATAAAAGAAGCCATACCGTAGGCTGGGAAATTGCGTGCCAACATTCAAATACGCAATCAAATTTGACATATTACCAGTCGTGCCAAAAATAACTGCAAAATTTAATTGTGCCCCATTAAAGTTGTTACAAAGGACTCAGCGGTGTCAAATGTCATGCCAAAATGTTGTCACAGAACTAAGATGGTGTTCCAAACATTTGGAAGGCAGCACAGAGAGGATTGTTGTTCCAAGTCCGTGTCAAAATTGTTTGGTAGGGTTTGCTTAAGAAGTCTCCCGTGCCAAATTTCGTGTCATTATCCTTTTTTTCTAGTAGTGGGAAGGCGAGAGGAGGTAACATATAAATTTAAAATAATATTTACATTTAAATAAATTGAAATAAAGTAATATTTAGACTCAAAAAGAAAATAATTAGATCCACATCGCAGCCACATCATCGATTTACCATATTGTTGGTTGGTGATAGTATAGGCTAAAATACAGAATTGGCGGGTTTTCAAGACTTAGCTTTAGGGATAAATTGTGTAAATTTACCATAAAATAAGGATATTTTGGGAAAACAGTTTGGTATACATTCAAATGACACATAACCTTCAATATCATCAAAATGATTAATGTTTTACTGGAAATTGCTTATATTGATATCAAAATAGTCATAATCAACTAAGGAAGTATCTCACTTAGGCTCTTCTCACTTGAAGAAGAAGCTTGAGCGGCTTTGTGATTTTGTGAAGATAAGGTATAAGGAATAGTAGAATGTCAACCCATGATCTGAAAAACAACACACAAAGTACTTAGTCAGTCAGATAGGGGTACTGTTAACTTTATTTTTATATAAAGTGCTAGGGGTCAAATAGTTGACTTGAATACAATTCCTATGACTCTTCTTCAATTAATTTAAAATAAAAAACACTCTGCCCATCTTTAAAGAGAGTGCTTGGTATACACTCCAATTGGCATATATCACTTTTATTGAGTATTAAAAATGAAAATATTTTGCTTAGCTTTGAGTATATATGACTATATATCAGTCCATATAATTGTTTAATTGATCAGTTGTGTTTGGAGCGTTATCTCTTTATTGATTGATTTTTTATTTCGATTTTGGACACACACTAGCTATGTAAATGATTAATATGCATGGCATGGCTATAGGAATCTTCTTACTCTTTGTACATCAGAAGAAAAGAAGAGACATCGCCATGCCATTTCCCTTGCCTGTGTGCAAATAATTCTAACATTAATATAAAGATCACCAGTTCACTATCATAGAAAAACACATCACAGAAACTTGTGCAAGCGCATCTCTCCTAAGATGGCAATACTTTTTAGTAATTAAGAGAAACATTATTAAGTTTCAAATACTATCTTAACAAAAGTCTAAAAGTATTTGTGTTTGGTTAAGATTTAAAAAAGTAATACGGATTAAGTATTATGTATATAGTAAAAGTACTGATGAAATTCAATCTTAACGATTTATAGTTGGTTGACAATTAGAGGGTAAAAGTTATTACTTGTAAAAGAGCTATTAGAGTCTCTCAAACTGCTTTTTGGAAAGAATTTAAGATAATAGACGCATGATGAAAAATAATGAAAAAAACTGCAACCTGCAGGTATAAAACTCCAAGATACATCTTTATTGCAGTGATCAAGACCTTCCTTTCAAGCAGTGCATTAACTACTTAATGAAAGTCGCAACGCATGAGCATGAATATCACTGCTATGTTTCCCTTCGCCATAATAAATAACTATATCATACTAACTAACCTCAACCAAAACTCCATCTCCACTAACACAAACAACTCCACCATACATTGAAAGGTCCAACTTATGAACATCTTCTTTGGCATGAAGCTGATATTTAGTTTCTGAATCTATACTATTAAATTAAAGTTGATAAAAGGGGCATGGGGTGAATAAGAATTTAGAAGTTATCAGAGGAACACAAAGATTTTGGAGACAAAATAAAGCATATGGAGTTAAAACTAAATGGACTCGGCCTACTTCAGAATTTATTGCGATTTTATAAAAAAATTATTGTAAAGAACTAAATTTGAAGAATAACCTGGCAGAATTGAGATTTGTTGACCTAGATTTTTATTCTTCAGAAGTGTGAGGTTCGAGCTTCATCTGGCAGCTAGAGTAATTGAGAGTTTGAGACGGATCAGAGTTGTCGATTGTGAAAGTAAAAAACGGTATCGATAAAGCCTTGGCATCGAACGTTAGTGGAGCTGGTGGATGTAGTGGTTTCATTCCGGCAATCTCCTGCCTCTCGGCCTTCAAGACCTTAGAGAAGGTGATCCAGCCTTTGCGATCGCCATTCCCCTGCACATTCTTCTGCTTGAGCCATTTGCAGGGACAGAAGGAAGAAATAGCCGATGTTGGAGGAGCTGAGAAGTCAAGTACTACCGGAGAAGCAACGTAGTGAATTGTTTGAAAAAAGGTCAGAGTGTCAGACCAAAGAGAAAATACGTTGAAGAGAAAAGAATAGTCCAAAACTTTGTATCTTTCTTTTTTGGGACGTCTCAAAAAACTTTGTCACTTTCCGTTTTAATCGATTATTTTGTGATTTCTGTTATTTGTCCCTTCTTTGCACAAACCTCAACCACACAGTTTTTACTTTATTATTCTTCGTGCCGGTCAACTTTGGCAAAGTTTTAAGGGACGGAGGTAGTATGTAATAAGTGAAAAAGAAAGAATACGTAAACGGTGATGATCACATCTAGATGAACGGTTGTGATGAATTTATATTGCTATTAAGTATAAGGATTTTCGATCTCCGAGGTTTTCCAATATCCATAGCTACTTGTATATGCAAAAGGGCTACGAGGTAGCCCCAAATATTAATCAACATAAATAGAGGAGTAAATAAAATTTCCAATCTTTTCTAGGGTTGGGTCCGAAAAAACAAAAACTAAAAACCAAATCAAATAAACCTAACCACAACCAAATAAAACCAATCCGTTAAAAACTGAAATTGAATGTAAAAACTCGAATCGAACCGTAGTTGTTTGGTTTGGTTTAGTTTTTATCCTTCAAAACTGAACCGAATCGAATAAATCAAACTAATTAAAACATGCAATTTTATTTGTTAATTGTTAAGCATTAATCCTAATTAGTATCCTCGATAGTCTATGATTTTCTTTTGCTAGAAATTAAATTTTATATTATTTTTAGTATAGTTTATAAAACACATTTACACAGCTTATAATAATGTAGCTATATTGATCTATTATGTTTTTTTGTATGTATGTTTCAATTTGTTGCATGATGGTGATATGTTTCACTGGTTATTACTAGTAATTAACTTTTATTTATATGTGAGTTAAAAAAATATCGATAGAATAAATAAATATTCATCTGAACTATATCACATAGAACATATTTATTCATGAACCAATGTTTTCAAACAAGTCACAAACAATGTAAATTAAGAATATATACACTTTTATCTTTCTCTCATACTCATCGTATAATTCAAGACATATTTATTTCTTCTCCTTTCATTTTATGTGTTCTAGTATGCTTGCATCTTTTGTGATAATATATTTGATCATATATACGTCCAACTATTGTATCATTTTAAATCAAATGACAAAATTTATTAGTAAATAACTTTAAAAACCGAAATTGAAACGAAACAAATTATACCAACCACACCGTAATTTCAAGTTTTGAATGGTAAAACCTAAACGAAATCAATCGAACTTTTCACTTTGATTTCGTATTTGATTTTTGGACAAAATCAAACCAAAAAACCAAACCCACCCCTTCTCTTTTTCTGCAAATTGTGGGGTTAAAAATCCTACTAGGAAAATATTGTTAATCGAGCCCCAGAATTCTTCCGCGAACAAGGTGATTAATTAATAATGGGAATTGAAGTCCCCACTAATCGAGCCCCTTCTCTTGATAATTATACTACTCGTATCAATTTCATGGTAGAAGTAAAACAAATAGTACTCCTTTGGTGACCCCTTTTTGACTTATCAGACTTATCAGTCAACTTTTTCACCAAACACGTAATTTTTTGTTTCGCACACTGAAATTTGTAATAAGCAAAAAAAGTAAGGTTGTAGTTACTTTTCTAGTTGTTTTGGCTGAAGTTGCTGTAGAGGATCATTTTAGCTATTTTTTCATATAACTTTTTGTTTAATTTATTGATAACAAATATTTTAAATATAATTTTTTCATTAATCAGCAAAATCAGTCAATACAACCACTTCAGCCAGAACTTCATAAATTTCAGCAGAATCAGCCAATTCAACCAATTTTAGTGCTACCAAACGGGCTCATAATGTCATTATCCATTTATCCCAAGGAATTGAATTAATGACATTATTAAGAAATTGAACCATTTTATATTCGTAACAATAACTTTTGTACCATTTTCAATAAATTGAATTTATTCATTTTGAATAAATTCCACTTTTGGTCCTGCGAGTTTTAGGTCAATTCCACATTTAATTCGCATCTTTCACTTTGTTCACTTTTGATACATGATTATTGGGTTTTCGTCCATATATGGTCCTTCCGGCATTGTATCCGATGCTTAAAATCGCTAGAAAAGGACCACAAAGGGTTAAAAAACATTAGTTAAGTATCAAAAGTGGACAAAATGAATGACGTGGACTAAAGGTGGAATTGGCACAAAACTCGTAGGACGACCAAAAGTGGAATTAATTCATTTTCAATATTATATTCGTTACGTTGATTGAATGAATTGAAAAATTAATTAATATATTTATAATAGTGGGATAATGCACAGACGATTTACTGCGTATATAATATTATTAATTTTAAATACTATTAGTAAATAAATTACTTTAACTATCTATTCTTTAGGTAACTAATGGAGTTCAATGATCTCTATCTATGTTAATCCTAATATATCAGATATAGTTGGTAACTTAAATATATCATATGATGATTCATAATAATATAAATGTAGTGGATAAACGAAGTGTGTAAAATCATTATAAATTTATAATGATACTTGATAGTATTAGTACTAAGTTTACTTTTTGCTACTGTATTTTAATTTTATTAATCACTAAATTGGGTGAGTAGCAAGTTTATCTTTATGAAACTATCATGGCACAATCAAATGAATAATAAGAGGAAGCGGTCCAATCCAGCTGGTCGCCGACTCACTCTCCCTTACGGGAGGTCTCTAGTTCGAAACTCAATGGAGTGAGTTTCGGCTTATATTATATTACTCCAGATGTTTTTACTTGGACTGTAATTTGCTGGTCTAGTCTGGTCTGGTCTGGTCTGTTATGGTCTGGTTTGGTCTGGTCTAGTCTGTTTTGGTTTGGTCTGGTGTGGTCTGGTCTGAAATTTTATTTTTTATATTTTTTGCATAAAGATTTTATTTTATATATATATTATAATCCATAAATAATTATATTTTATTCATTTATAATTACAAATAACAATAACAATAACAATAACAATAACAATAATAATAATTATAATAATAATAACAACAACAACAACAAAAATAATAATAATAATAATAATAATAATAATAATAATAATTAGGGGTGTGCACTATCCTGTTTAAACCAGAAAAACAGACCGAACCGGAATGATATCCGGTCCGGTTCGGTACGGTCCGGTCTGGTTTTGAACCGGTGCACACCCCGAATAATAATAATAATAATAATAATAATAATAATAATAATAATAATAATAATAATAATAATAATAATAATAATAATAATAATAGTAATAATAATAATAATAATACTAATTAGGGGTGTGCACTAGCCGGTTTAAACCGGAAAACCGGACAGAACCGGACTGAAAAAACCGGAACCGGATCGAACCGGAATGATATCCGGTCCGGTTCGGTACGGTCCGGTTTTGAACCGGTGCACACCCATAATAATAATAATAATAATAATAATAATAATAATAATAATAATAATAATAATAATAATAATAATAATAATAATAATAAGAATAAGAATAAGAATAATAATAATAATTAGGGGTGTGCACTAGCCGGTTTAAACCGGAAAACCGGACTGGAAAAACCGAAACCGGATCGAACTGGAATGATATCCGGTCCGGTTCGGTACGGTCCGGTCCGGTTTTGAACCGGTGCACATCCCTAATAATAATAATAATAATAATTGATAGAGTATATAGACTCGGACCCCCGGGTCTCACGACTATTGGGCCCGGACAGCGGCCCACACACATCTTACGGATATCATTTGTATTATTGTACTGCTTATATGTCATTTGTATGTAACTATGTACTAGATTAGTCTTTTATGTAGTTGGGCTACCGGGCCCATATTAGCAGCCCGGCCCATTATTTCCCTATTTATACTCCTCTTGGAGCCATTTGTAACCCTAACTCATAATTCATACACAATATCATTTCTACTATTCATCTTCTCCAATTATCTAGCTCAATCTCTCCATTTTAATATACTTTGGATACCCTATAATCCATCAATGGTGCTCTCGTTGAGAGATTAGAGCAAAATCAAGTTAGATTCCTCCCAAAAATATCAAAAAATCTCAAACGCAGCAAATCTTGAAAAAAATCATTCTGCAAGATTCAAGAACACAAAAAAAAAATCAGATCTGGAATTGCCAGAATCCGACCCCCGCCCAGCTTCTGGAAAGTGAGGAAGAAGGACGTTGAGGGCTCGTGACTGGAACGAGGACTTGGGAGTGATGCACCATGAGCGACCCCAAGCACGAGTTCTGCCGCCCCCATGGCAGCGCCGCTCGCACAGCTCCGGTTGCCAGCTCCGGTCACCATCTTCCCAGTCATTTCTCCGGTTGTTAAGCTCTAAACCACGAATATCCGCCATTAATGGTGGTTCAAAGGTCAGAGAAGGATCGTTGCGGATGATGTCATCATCAAGTACTCCTTGGCCAGAACTAGATGTCTGCAACCTAGCGTGCGACGCGGCTGAGTTGACTCTGCAACTGTTGCCTTCGAAAAAAACGAGGGCCAAATCTCGAACTGGCCTAAAGGGATTCTCCGGAGAAGCTACGCACGGAAGCAGGGACGTCCACCGGCGGCGCCTCTCACCCAGCAGTAGAGATGTCTGAAGCGGCTGCTCAACCTCGTGACCTCCGGCTCTGAGGCGGCCTCATTCTGGTGGTGAAGCTCCACCAAGAAGAATGAGTGAAGATGGAGGGCTTGAGTTCTATCGGGCCAGGACTTGGTTCAAGCCAAAGTTAATGGGCTGTCCAACTGTGATGGGCTCCATTATCAACAAATTATCTCAAACAGTCCAAATATGAGCTAAGTATCCAAGCAACCCAATACTCCTATTTATGCACTTAAAATATTTATTAAATGATAGTAGTATAATTATTACTATTATTAATTATATTATTTCCACCACCATTATGGCGGGTTAAAAACCCCCGAGGTGGTGAAGACCTTTATGAGGGATTAAAATTTCTCGAGGTCGCTAAT